CATCATTCAACCACTCCCATTTATCTCATTGTGTACGTCGATGATATTATTGTTACATCTCCAGATCAAGCATCACTTAACAATTTTTTGCAGAATTTCTCCAACAGGTTTTCCTTAAAAGACTTGGGTGACTTGTCTTATTTCCTTGGTGTGGAGGTCATGCCCTCGCCTCAAGGTCTTTTCCTCAATCAACGGCGTTACATCATTGACTTGCTCGAAAAAATGGGTATGCTCGACTCTAAACCGGCTTCCACCCCAATGATTTTGACGGAACATCTTACAGCATCCTCTGGCACGCCACTTGCAGCTCCTAAAGATTACAGGGCTGCTGTTGGCAGCCTACAGTACCTTACACTTACCAGGCCGGATGTCGCCTTTGCTGTTAACAAGCTCTCCCAGCTCATGCATTTCCCGTCATCCGCGCACTAGACTGCACTCAAGAGGCTCTTACGCTACTTGAGTGGCACTCTTGATAAGGGCATCACCATTTATCGTGATACCACACCTATCTTGCATGCATTTTTTGATGCCGATTGGGCTGGTGATCGTGATGACTACACTTCCACTATGGGTCATGTCGTGTTTCTTGGTCGGACTCCTATCTCTTGGGCTTCCAGAAAGCAAAGATCCTTATCCCTCTCCTCTACAAAAGCTGAATACAGGTCAGTTGCAACCACAGCTACTGAGTTACTATGGGTCCGTAATCTTCTCACTGAGATGGGAGTCATGCTGCCCTGCACTCCGGTTGTTTATTGTGATAACCTTAGTGCAACATACCTTGCTGCAAACCCTGTCTTCCAATCCCGGATGAAGCATCTAGCTGTTTCTTACCACTTCATTCGAGACCAAGTTCAGCAAGGTACTCTGCGAGTTGTTCATGTCTCGACAGGAGATCAATTAGTTGATTTTCTTACAAAGCCGTTATCCAGACCGCGTCTTGATATCTTACTAACCAAGATCGGCCTTTCGAACCCTTCGTCCGTCTTGCGGGGGCATGATAGAGATACAAGATAATCATCTAGCTAGAGTTATCTTATTCTCATATTCTGTAAAGATATTTAGTTATCATTTAGCTTTATCATAGCTTCTTTGTTTTGTGCATATTGTTATTATCTTTTGTAATCTTTGCATAGCTCTTAGTTTGTATAAATCTAGGTTGTACACTCTGTTTTAATCAATTCAATTAATTATATTCATCCTACATTTTTTGCAGTATGTTATTATGAACCTTCATTTAGCCGCAAAACCAAAGGTTTTGTAGAGAGTTCTCAGGTGATTCGATAAAGTAATAGAACAATGTCTTCCCATGAGCTGGATCAACTGTTACATACCCCAATCGGTTGGCCGGCAAAGAGGTGATCTTGTCAGCCTCCATGAGCCCATCTTGTGGTTCAACATAAACCCGAGTTTCTTTGATTCGGGTTGGCAATGTGATCCAAGAGGCATCAAGGGAGGGTTCTTTTGACCACTTAGATAAATCGGTTAGTTCATCATAGATTTCATTTGAGGTGAATGTGTTTAACTTAAGGAAAAAATAGAGAGAAATTAATAGCAAGAGAAATTAATAGTGTATCCCTTTGTGTGATTACCTCCATTGAGCCATAACACCAACGGTTTAGTGGAAGAATTTAGCGGAGACTCCACAAAATAGTAAAATATGTATTTGCTGGATCTACGGATCTACTGAGCAAATAAAAAAAAATGATTGCACGCTGTACTCCATGTGAAGGAGAAAGATAAATTAAAATCACCACTAAAAAATAAATGTAATAACATACCTTTTGATGAAAGAATATGCAAATTCAAAATAATCTATTTAAATAAAGTAATCATTATTATATGGCAAATATGTGTAATAAAATTTATATGCAATATATTATATATTATATATTATACATTATACATTATGTTAAAGTTTATGTAATTTGTTTTATGTATTGGCAAAAGCAAATGTGATAGAATAATGGTGTATCAACCAAATACCAAACATATATTTTTATTTTTTTGGTATTAGTTGCGACGTTACACAACAACACCACCTCCTCTATATATATTCACTTCTTATTATTCTCATATCATCATACTCTTCTAAGCTTCACTCTATCAAGCTTTACACATTCTCCTCAAAACCTTTGGTTTTGTGGCTAAATGGAGGTTCGTAACTATGTATGTGATTGTTTTATTTCATGTACAAGTATAGATATAACATGATTTTCTTGAATATTACACAATAATTAATTAACATATAACTTTATTTCTACGTACATACATGGCTATATATATTTACTAACACTAAGAAAGTTACATCTCAAGACTCGGATTCTCTTCATTAGGAAATGACGCATTGATGGAAAATGGTCCTTTTAGGGTTCTACGGAACAAAAACTCAGTCTACCGGAATCCATTTGTATGGAATAATGGTATAAACGTACACAATACATTCTCCTTTCTTTCACAACAATTAGTAGTTATTATTTTACCATAATTTACAAATTGCTATATATATAAATTTTTATCAACATATCAAAAAACAAAAACTTGTAATAAATTAACAATTTAAGTAGTATTGGAGTGTTAGTATTAGTAGAGTAAAATATTTAGTACTAATAGTGTTATATTTTATCGTAATTTTAGGAATAAAACATTGCCTAATTAACATTTTATTTTTTAAGTAGTAGTGGTGGTGGTAAAAATGTAAAGTGTGACCATAACAAATTAATATGACTTTTAAAAAATGTGTAAATGTTAGTGGCAAATGTTATCTATTCAAAGTCTCCGGCCGCGGTGGGATTTTCGTATGGGAATGTGTCGACCACATACAACCGAACCGAGGATATAAGTACGGCTATGGATGCCTACACTTTTTTCGCCAATTGGTTTGAGAGGTTTCCGATATACGAAGGTCGTGAATTCAATTTAACCGGAGAGAACTATGCTGACCATTTCCTTCCACAACTCGCTTAAACCATTTTGTTTCATAACAAATGGCGAACAATAATTTTATCAACCTCATTGGCATTGTGGTAAATATGTACTTGTAAAGCTTAATTCTTTCCTTTGAAATTTATTTACTAATGTTAAATTAAGAGTCTGATTAAGTTTTCTTTATTTAATGTAGATGGGAAATGCAATGGTTGATGAGCAGTCTACCTATGCTGGAATAATTGATTACTTATGGTCGCATGCCATAATTTCTAACCAAACTCATGCTAGTATCCATCCATATTGCAACTTTTCTGATATTTTTTTCATCAAAAAACTGTATGGGTTACAACGTGAAAAAAACTGGTGAAGAAATGGGAGACATTAATGTTTTTAACATGTATGCCCCTTTATGCAACATTACTAACATGCCAAAGTTGCACATTTAAGTTATCGAAGAAAACACACCCTTAATTAATTAGTCATTAAAATTAATTAAATTATTATATGTATATGCAGGTTGAAAACTTTGATCTGTACTCTTTTTATTACGTGGACATATACGTAAACCAAAAAAGTGAGGAAAAACTCTTCATAGCAAGAAAAATCCAAAAACATGGTCTCCATGCAAGTATGTATATGTCTGGTTTACTCATAAATTTGTATAAGAATATGTCATAATCTTAGGCAATGTTACTATTCATCTGTATTAATTAATTTCTTACTATAATCTCAAAATTCGGCCTTATGTTTGACTAGCATGATGCAGTGTTGACAGTTTTACCTCTAATAATTAAGGAGTTGATTAGTGATAATATCAGGAGTTGGATGTACATGTAACATATTGATACAACTATTGTATAAGATTAAATATTGATTATAAAAGGATTAATATTGTAATATGCTAATTATATTTCGACAAAAAAATGTGACAATTTTCAGCGGAGATTTAGATGAACGAGTACCCGTGACGTCGACTCGATACGCCATAAATGCTCTCAACCTACCCATTAAGGCTGGTTGGCGCCGGTGGAAATCTGGTAGCAATAAGGTATACATAATAATGTATGCGAATTATTTTGTACTTATTTTTTTTTTTTTGAAACCACTTGCAGATGATAATATTAATAGAGGTCAAAATATTCTTTTATTATTATTATTATTATTATTATATGTGAGATGTGCATGATTGCACAGTATGTAGCATATTTGAATTACACAAGTATTATATGTAGTCACAAGATCATCGTAATGGATAGTGCATCTCTCTCGATTTTGAAGAATCTTATAACCAAATTCAATTAGATGTCCTTAGCTTGATAAGTTGGGATATGATCTTGGCCTATGTTTTTTGACTTAGCAAAGTTAATTGATCCTTAATTAACAATTAAGAAATAATTAAATGACATGGACCATTGAAAAAATGCATGGAACAAAATTAAATTGAAAGAGTTATAAGAATATAAATGACATGAAGCTATGAAAGGATAGACCAATAATGAGAGTATGTTATTGATAGACTTGGTTATTGGACGGGTTGAGTCAGGATTAGTACGGGTCGGATCAAAGTGAATCACATTTTATATGGCCAATAGCGGGTGGGCCCAATATAAATCACGGGTTAATATCAGGTTGATAATAGGCAAACCAACAAACTATCACTTAAAATAAATTTTGGACAAAATCATAATTAAGTATAATGAATACGATAATATCTACGTAATTTTTTTTACATCATTTATTTTATTAATGTATTAAATTGGACAAATATTTTGGCTTTATATTGACCATACTCAATAAGGACCCTGTCCATTAAGAATTCTTTAAACTTGAATTGACCCTATTATTTATTGGACTACCCTACCTAATAACCAGGTCTAGTTATTGAATGATAAGAGTAGGACCCTTACCTAAAGGACAAGAGTAGGACCATTGCCTCCTAAGCCAAACTTTGTACTACCTCCGTTTTTTTTATGTGCAACTTTTGCCATTTTAGTCCGTTCACTATTATGTGCAACTTTCTTTTTTCATTCTATTTTGGGTAAACAAAAACCCTAAAAATTACAAATTTGCCCTTACTTAAAAATTCAGATTTTCTTAATGTTACCCTTTTTTTTATTTAAACACAATAACTTTTTTGTCTAATCTAAAATAATTAACCTAATTTTACCCACCCATTTACTCATCTCTCTACCCACCAGACACCACCCATTCACCCTCTTCATCTTTGCTCTTCATCTCTTTCACCTTCACCCTCATCCTCTTCATCTCTTTCACCCTCACCCTTCATCTCTTTCACCCTCCTCCCTCAAAAGTCACGACCACCGCCTTCTCTTGTCTCCATTCTCTTATTCCTTGTTTATTCTCACTTTCTCTCTCTTCCCCTATTTTTCTCTCTCCTCATAATATCCATGGACACCCCTCCAGATTGGGATCTACTCGCCGTTGTCAGAAGCTGCTGCTCCACCACCACCACTACAACCACCACCACGGCAGATCTAGAACCTTCTCCATCAATTCCGCCACCTCCTCCATCGTCGTCGTCTTCGCAATTTACCCTTCCTCCTAAACTACCTCAGCAACAACAACAACAACAACAACCGCCTACGCAACAACAACAACCTCCTCGGCTTATTTGGCGTCTTCGGTATCTTCGCCTTCTTCAGTCATCACTGGAAGATCTTTTGGAATTGTTGAACAACAACAACATCAACAACAAACGCAGCTTCGAGGATTAATTAAGCCTTCTCATGTCATTTTTGGAACTTCTTCTCCTTCTATTGCTGGAAATAATGCTTCGCAAACTCCGAGAACTAAGAAAAGGTTGGTTTTGTTTGGATTAATTTTTCATATGAATTTGTAGATTGGTGTCAATTTTAATGGGTTTTGTGTTGATTTTTGTAATACAGGAAGAATCTGATGAAGAAGGTGTGTCATGTTCCAGCAGAAGGTCTTTCCTCTGATAGAGGTGGGTTTGAGAGGTGGGGTGGTCTGGGTTGGAGGTGGTTAGGGGTGGTGGTGGAGGGGTATGTTAGATTTCTGGGTTTTTTGGTTAGGGAGGGAGTTGCCGGAAAAAGGAGGGAAAGACGTGAGGGTGGTGGTGGTTTCGGGGGGTTGGTTGTGGTGGTTTTGTGGGGGTGGTAGTGGTGGTGGAGAAGCCGGTGGTGGTTTTGGTGAAGGCGGCGGCGGTGGTGGCTGGGTATGGTGGTGGCAGTGGGTGGTTTGATTAATTAACCAAACATTCTCTCTCCACCTTAATTACATACTCCTATAATATATTAATCACCATTATACTATCTTAATCTTTACCCTTCAATCTTTTGCCTCGTCAACTGCAACTTGCCCCAAAGTTGCACATTAAAAAAAAACGGAGGTAGTATAAAATTATGATGTAAAAGGGCTAGGTGAGTACCGTTTAATCAACAAATAAAAAAAGATTCACATACAATAGCCACTACCATATAGAAGTGGACTATAAAGACGGATTTTGCAATAAAAAGTTGAAGAAATAAAGCAAAAATACAATTGTTGTTAACTAATGTATTAGTCTATCAGCTAATAATTTGCAATTTCTCATAATTATATTCCCATTATTGTACAATTTTTGATATGAAAGACACCGAACATCATCACATAATTATATTCCATTATTTGAGGTATTGATGTAGAAGACTTCAAAATATTATGTCCCAATTTCCCATACCAATTATTTCTCGCTAGCTCGTCCCAACTTTTTTCCCTAGCTAGCAACCTTCCCTAATTTGTGGAATTAGATAAATGTAATAAAATCATTTGGACCATTATTTTATAATGCCCTTATGTCATTTAATTACATTTTTAAAAACTTTTAAATATACTTACTACGAGTACATTAAATTTAAAAGTATTGCTACGTTATTTTATAAGTAAATGTAATAAAATCACTTGGACCATTACTAAGCAATTAATAATGGCACAAAGTATGCTACGGAGTACATTGCTACATTGTCCTTATTAACACTCCCCTCATTATATTATAAATAAATTCTTTCTCTGCTCCTTCGCTCACCATTCCATCAATCCATCCCCTACAACAAGCTCACACCTACATCCTCCTTTCTACTTAATGAGTGCGTTTCTAATGTTAATTACGGGCCTTTACGACAATGTTCTTCAATTGGTCATGCATTCCTACAACTCGGGCCTTATAGAGTTCAACAAGATGGGAATTGAAGACACTCCTTTCGAACCCATACTCATGGCATAAAGGTATCACATTATCTAAATACACAACTCTATAAAAAAAAAAATTAGAAAATTTAACAACAACAAACCAACATTTGCCCCATTCTATCAAATGAACAAACCTTTAAATCTTCCCTAAATAAACACAAGTTTGCATTTTTTCTTCCAAAATAAACCCAAATGACCTGTGACCTGTACAGCCGATCATTTTTTCTAATTTTCCTTTAATTATTATTTTTTTTAAATTAAAAACCTTTAATTATCTTTTTCAAATTAATAATTTAAATAAAAAATAATAAAAAAAAAAAACAGATCACTCTCCCTTCACCTCACTGCCATACAACCACCACCATCATCAACCACATGCAACCATGTCATGGCCACTCTCACCCCCACCCACCACGAAACTCTCTAAACACGCCGGAAAAACCTCCTAACCATCCCGAAAACCCAACCACAACCCGAAAAACTCCTGACAACTATCCCCCAATCCTGAAAACTCCTTCCCCAGCCTTGAAAACTCCTCCCCCAGCCCAAAAACCCCCACCCCAGCCACGAAAATTCCACCTCGAAAACCCCTGACAACCATAATCATGCCCCATCGCTGCCAAATCCCCCACCTCAAAACCATTAAGCAACCATAACCATCCCCACGCACCCTACCCACCCACAAATCAGGCACCTCGAAATAAAAATAAAATAAAAAAAATAACCATCCCCACGCACCCTACCCACCCACAAATCAGGCACCTCGAAATAAAAATAAAATAAAAAAAATCGAGTTGTTCAAATTTAATCACAAGAATAAATTCGAGCAACTAAATCCTAATTTCTATCACAATCTACCATTTTTTCAACGATTAAGCTCGTCAATTTAAGGTGTATTTTTTTTTAATTGTTCTTGAGAGTTTGTGATGTTTTCCAGGGTTACTGTTGGGTTTTCGGGGGTTGGATGGGTTTTCGACGCCTTGGAGTGGTGGTGTTGGGTTTTTAATGACATGTGGATTTTTACCTGGTATAAAAGGTAAGGTGACTTGTTGGGTTCATTTTGGGAGAAAAAATCCAAACTTGTGGTTATTTTGGGAATATTTAAAGGTTGGTTCATTTTGGGAAAATGGGGCAAATGTTGGTTTATTGTTGTTAAATTTTTCTATTATTTATTATACTTCTGCTATATTTAGCATCGTACACCTTAGTATAGAAGATATTATTTTTGTTCTAATCTTTCTTAAAATGTGATGCAGGACCCAATAAGAACCAATGAGTCTAGTTCAGACTCTGATTTGGGTTTTTTCATTTTTACCACCTTCAAATAATGACTTTGTCGAATTTACCACCTCCAAAAAAAAAAAACATTTACTTTACCACCTCATAAAAAAAATAAACATCAGTTTTACCACCTCATCTGAGCTCAGGTGACGGAAAACGCTTGTGGGGCCCAGTTAACTGTCACTTCCCTCCAATTTAATTCTTTTAAAATCGATTTCCCTCTGTCTCCTCCTTTTCTCACCTTCCACCTTCCATAATCAATGTCTCACCAAATTTCTCACTTCCTCATCAATTTTCGTCTCTCTCTCCTTTGATTTTTCTTGATTCTCATTGTAACTGCTTCTCTCTTCTTTGATTTTTCTCTTTCTCTCTATAAAAACTGAAACCCTAGATCAATTTGGGTGGTTGAAATCGAGCTGGAACCACAAAATTGCAACACATCAGCTTCTGTTGTCATCTTCCACAGGGTGAGGGGACCAAAAGCTTGGTAATTTGCTGACAGAAATCGAGATTCCTGACTACAAGAGGTACTTTAAACCCTTTATTAGTACATTTCGTTGGATTTATGGTTGTCAATTGGGGTAAAGTATGCCTTTTTGGGGAATCTGTGAATTAAAGTATTATAAACCCTAATTATGCGAATCTTTGACTGAATTAGAGTGTGCATTTGTTAAATAATTAGTTAATTAGATTTACTTGTTTACTGTTAATTTAGTGCATAGTCAATGTGAATTGCTTTTACTTGCTGTAATTGGTGAATTGGTTGTTGTTGTTTACTGTAATTACTGAAATTGGTTATTGTTGTGTGTGCTTTTGTTGGTGTTGTTACAGAATGGACATAGTGGACTTAAAAATTACAGTAGGGGGTGCCTTTATACCTTCTTTAGCTGGTAAAAATAGGAGGGTGTTAACTTGGGATGGTGGGTGGGTTTATTGGATGAGAAAGGTGGAAAAAAATAAGATAGATGTACACTTTTGAGGCAAGCAGCTATACATGGGTTTGTGTATGTGAATGTGAAGGTTCCTAGGGGGTTTAGTTGCTGGTATAAACAAAAGGGCAAGTCTTGGGTGAATGGTAAAAGGGAGCTTGTTGATGGTGAGGTGAATGGTTTCCTAGAGTCGGTGAACAAAGAGGGGGCATGTGAGATGTATGTTACCAGTCATGAGCCAATTGAAGGGACTAACAAAACACCCTTCAAATGTATATCTGGGAATGAGCTAACCCCTGCACAAAGGAAGGAACTGAAAAAGAGGTTTGGTGGGCCTAAAGTATACAAACCCAGCCCAGAACTTAGTAAGCCCACTGAAGAAGAGCCATTTAGGAGAAGCCCTAGGTTAAAAGGCATTGTTATACATGACAGAGAGGCTGAGGAGAGGCTTCCTAGGGCAGAGAAAGTGAATGCTAATACACATAAAGGGAAGGGTAAACTCACTGCTGCAGATAAGGGTAAGGCTAAGGTTGGGGATGAGACTGGAAATTTTGCTAATTTAGTGAGAAAAATAAAAGAAAGAGTGAGGAGCTTAAGGGATGACAGTGATGTGTTTAGTGATGAGGATGGTGATACAGAGTCTTCTGATTCTGAGTTGAGTGATTTTGAGTTAGAAGTTGATGAGGGAGAGGAGGACTTATACTCTGATGATGATGAACAGTGGTTGAAGAAAAATTTAGACCATATTAACAGTGAGGTGAAAGGCAGTTTGAGGGGAGTTACTGAAGGAGGGGATCAAAGTGATGATGAGGACACAAGGTTTGACATAGAAATAAATCTACAGAAAATTGAAGTGAGGGTTGAAGAGGAGGCAACTTGTGATTCTGATGAGCTAAAGACTGTGGAAGGTGATTCAGATGATGATCAGGGTAGTGTTACTTGGTTTAACCCTGAGACAGACTTTGAAAGGGCTATCAAATTTGTAGTTGGTCAAAGGTTCAGTGATGTGCAAACAATGAGAAAAGCTTTGAGACAACATGCAATTGAAAATAGGTATGAGTATTACCTTCTTCACAATGATTCAAAGAGGCTAACAACATATTGCAAAAGGAAATGCAAGTGTGTGTATAACAAGAACAGTTGTAGGATAGTGAAGTGTACATGTAGTAAGGGTGTTAGGTGTAGGTTCAAGTTTTATGAAACAAGGCTTGTGAAATCAGAGGCTTGGAAAATTAAGACACTAAGGCTGAAGCATAGGTGTGTTAGGAGTAAAATGAACAACAAGGTGACAGCAGAGTTCCTTGCTGACAGGTACTTGGAGGAGTTCAGGGGCAACCCCAGATGGAAGATTAAACAGATTCAGGACAGGGCCTTGAATGACTTGGGGATCAAAATTACATACTCCAAGGCTTGGTTGGCTAGAAGCAGGGCAAAGCTTATAATATATGGCTCTTCATCAGAGCAATACTCAAAGGTTTGGGACTATGGGAAGGCACTGCTGAAATGGAACCCAGGGAGTGAGTGTAATGTGGTGGTGGATGATATTAATCAAATTGAAAGACCAATTTTTATGAGGATGTTTGTGTGCTTAGCTGCACTTAGGGATGGATTCATTTCTGGTTGCAGACCAGTAATTGGGGTGGATGGGTGCCATCTAAAAGGGGCATACCCTGGGCAGATCTTGGTTGCACTTGGAAAAGATGGCAATAATTCCATCTTCCCAATT